CGAGCCAACAGATCACGACACTCTTGTATATAAAAGGAGCGTGTGAATTAAACAAGTCACATTATTAGCACTGATGAAGATCCGGGCTTACGGATCGAAAGCTTTGCAGTAATAAATTTACGTGGTGTTTCCACAAACAAAAACAATTACATCTATATTTGTTTAAAATTAAACACAAAAGTTTCTAATCATGATTCGCTCAAGTTTTATTGCTATGTTGCTCATTTGTGTCGTGTGTTCATTCTGTGGCAAAGATTTTGTAACGCTTGGGCGACACTCATGGCGGTGTAAACAACGTATTAATCATGATCAAAGCCGCTCTGGAAGCACAGAAAGAGAAATGCCTGCTTTGAGTAATCCTAACATACCTATTACACAACGAACTGTAATTAAATGTTGCTGCGGCAAAGTTTGTAAAGGTAATCGGGGTTTGAAAATGCACCAGCGTAGCTGTCAAGTCTTACATGGGCTAAACAACGAGTTGTGCGCAGATCTTGAGGAGCAAATTGCAGATAACCCTGAGAATATCATAACGGACGACCACCCACCCACAACACAGTCAACTTTAGACAGTGAAGAAATTACTCCTGATCTAAAGAAAGGCATAAATCTTCCGAAGAAGGACTCTGAATGGGAAACGGCCAACGATTATTTTAAATTTGCAATCCCTTTTAATGGACCAATCATATCGCAAGATTTCAATTCAAGTATAAGGCATTTAAACGATACTATATATAATTACTTTGTTGATAATTTTGGAAATGTTGAGACGGCCGAGAAACTCGTAGCAAAGTATAAAGATCATTCTATAAAGGATCTAAAGAAGGCTTTAAGCAATTTAAAGTCCACAAATTCGGAGGTAGCCGAAATAAAATATGTGTCTCGTATTCTGCGCAATAAGCTTCGTAACCATGGTGACATTCAGACAGGCTCCAACCGAGACAACTCGTTTAATCACGACAAATACATGGAAAGAAATTTTTGGGGTTATGTTAAAAACGTTTTAAATAAGGAAGATGCTCTGTTCCCATCCTTCAGCATGACAGAATGTGCGGTTTATTTTACTAAAACTTTAGCTGCAGTTCACCCTGGCAAACTGTTTCATATTCCAAGCTGGATTCCTAGGTTATCTGATCCGCAAGTGGAATTTGACCTTGACCCGCCTACATACCAACAAGTTACTGCTGTTATCCGTAAAATGAAAGCATCTGGTTCTCCTTGTCCTCTCGATCAGATATCAGTCATATGCTTTAAGCGATGTCCTTACCTAAGAACTTATTTAACTGAACTAATACGCGCTGTCTGGCTTTCAGGATCTATCCCGAGTGAATGGAAAAGAGCTTGCACTATACTTATTCATAAGAAAGGCAACACGAGTATTCCCTCAAATTTCCGACCGATCACACTCGAATCTATACCGCTTAAAGTATTTACATCATGTCTGCGTAACGCAATGTACTCCTTTCTCACCGCCAATAACTTTATAGAACATAACATACAAAAAGGCTTCACCCCAAATCTGTCTGGTACTATGGAACATACTGCGCAAATGGCTAATATAATAAACAAAGCTCGTATAAAACAACGTTCACTTGTCATCACACTACTTGACCTCAAAAACGCTTTTGGAGAAGTTCATCACAACTTAATCCAATCGGTCCTTGGCTATCATCACATCCCTAATCACATGAATAATTTAATAAAAAGCTCATACACTGATTTTAAAACTTCCGTAATTACGTCTGAGTTCCGTACCCATTTTATACCTGTTGGCCGTGGTGTATTGCAAGGTGACTGTCTTAGTCCTCTACTATTTAATATGTGTTTCAACACATATATTCAGCATATCAAAGCTGAAAAGTACCGTCAGTTCGGTTTCTCCCTCCAACTTCTTATTCCAATCCACTGGTTTCAGTTTGCCGATGATGCTGCGGTTATTACTGGTCAAGAGTCGGAAAATCAACATCTCCTTAATCGATTCTCTATCTGGTGTCAATGGTCCAACATGGTTGTTAGAGTTGATAAATGTAGCACATTTGGCATCAAAAAAGTTTTATCAAAATCTGCCCAGTACCTGCCGAAACTTTTGATCAATAAGGATCTCATACCAACAATTAAGACTGGAGAATCATTTGAGTATTTGGGACGACATTTCGACTTTAACATGACTAATGAAAAACATAAATCTGAAGTGATTTCCCTCATTGATGAACTAATGTCCGAAATAGATCTTAAACCTCTTCACCCAAAAAACAAAATTTTACTTTACAGTCGTTATGTTTTGTCGAAGCTATCCTGGCATTTTACTGTTGCTACGATATCTAAAACTTGGGTAGTCGAAAATATCGATTCTTCGGTGAACAAGTACATCCAAAAATGGCTGGAAGTACCTATATCTGGAACACTAAGTAACGTTTTTCTAACCCGTAATAAGTTTGGTCTAAATATCCTCCCTGCATCAGTCAAATTCATTCAGTGTCAAACAGTTCTACGCAATGCCCTGAAAACATCTCCAAACGATAAATTCAATAAACGAACTGTGGACGTCAACTAATAATCATACTAACATTCAATACGATAGCTACAACTCAACTAAAGAAGTTTTAAAAACTTTCCATTCTCAACAAGAAAATAAACTTAGGAACCGTTTGAAATGTCAAGGTTCCTTTTTCGAAAATGTTTCTAAATTCTCGCTATCACAACTTAACGCAATCTGGTCGGTATCGCAATCAAAGCTACCAAAGAACATTTTCAACTTTACAATTCGCTATATAAATAATACCCTTCCTACCCGAAAGAATCTCAGTAGATGGGGAATTTCATCAAGTTCTGACAGCTCGTTCTGCTTACACCCTGAATCACTTCTACACGTTGTTGCCGGTTGTCAACATTACTTGGAACGATTTACTTGGAGACACGATTGCATACTAAACTTTCTTGCTAAAACTTTTCAAAGTTTAAACGAATGCAAATTACATGTTGATCTTCCTGGATTTAAAAGTCCCTCGATTATTACGGGAGATGAATATCGTCCTGATTTACTTGTCTCCACTTCAGACAAACACCTCTACGTCGTTGAACTTACCGTAGGCTTTGAATCAAACCTCACAAACAATGTTAACCGCAAGAAAGCTAAATATAAAAACCTAATTAGAGAACTGGATCAAAACTTTACATCTGTTAAATTTATAAATCTTTCTGTCAGTTCGCTAGGGGTGTTTGACAAAGAATGTCATACATTCGTAAAAATGCTAAATGAGTTAGGACTGGATAATCAACACCAACAATATTGTATCAGAAAAATTATATCTATTGCCATCCGATCAACCTAGCCTACTACATATTTTGCTGTAGAAATAAAGAATGGACAAATCCCGAACTAATGAACATTTAATTAAAGTAACTATTTCGGTAAATAAGTAGCAATTTTTGTATATAAAATTATAACCATGCATGTATAAGTGATTCAAGTAGTCAATTGTAGGTTACCTCAAGAAGTGAGATTTACAATTGTATATATCTATAAATGTTCTATTAATAAAGTTTTCATTATTATTATTATTTTTATTATTATTATTATTATTATTATTATTATTATTATTATTATTATTATTATTATTATTATTATTATTATTATTATTATTATTATTATTATTATTATTATTATTATTATTATTATTATTATTATTAGCTTATCAAAAACCTGTATGATAACTACACCATCTCAGTAGGCACAGAAAGCTTTATTACAAACCCAATTTTAGTTGGTAAAGGAGTTCTTCAAGGTGACTGCCTTTCTCCCCTTTTATTTAATATGTGCGTTAATACCCTCATCAAATGTATAAAAGATGAACGTGTACAATGTATTGGCTATTCATATTGTGAATACCTACGCCCCAGACACTGGTTCCAGTTTGCAGACGACACTGCACTAGTCACAACATCCGAAGAAGATAACAAAGCCCTCCTCGACGTATTCACTAAATGGTGCCGTTGGGCAGGCTTCCAGGTTGGAGTTAATAAATGCTCTACATTTGGAATCAAGCACAACGGGAAAAAGGCTACGCAATTTAAGCCTTATCTCAAAGTAAATAATCAGATGATTCCTCAGGTTGAGATAAACGAATCATTCCAATATCTAGGAAAGCAATTCAATTATAAAATGGACACGGTCGTAATCGAACAGGAACTAGAATATGATCTTTTGGAATATTTAGAGAAAATTAACAGGCTTCCTTTGCACCCTAGAAATAAAATTCTGATTATCACGAAGTACGTCTACAGTAAACTGCGATGGCGTTTATCAATCTACAGGCTTTCACAAACTTGGGTGGAACAGCACTTAGATAACAAGATCATCTCTTATATCAAGCGTTGGCTACATTTCCATAAAGGTGCAAACATGACGCATCTGAAGTTAGCTAGCAGCAAATTAGGTGTCGGTCTCCAACTGGCTTCTGATGTTTACAGATACTGTAAGCTGTCTATTAGAAAAATTCTTTCTAAATCCATCAACAATGATATGAGATGCCTGTCAATCTTACCAAGTTCAATAATGTGCAAACTAATTGCTTGATTTATAACAACGACAATCCTAGATCAGCTCTTGAGCAACAAATCGAAAATACCGTGGTGGAACATCTCTCGACTCTTAAGGAACAGAATACGATCATGAAACATGCTAGACAGGTAGCATCTCCTAAGCGTATAACAATGTGGGACAACATCTGCCGCCAAATGCCAAAGAATATATTCGTGTTTGCGAGACGAGCCTTGATATATTCTCTGCCGAATAATTCAAATCTATATCGATGGGGGAAAAGTGATAACCCATCTTGTGAATTGTGCTACTCAAACAAACAAACACAACTTCACATGCTTTCTGCCTGTTCGGTTTCGGCAGATGAAGGTCGATACACTTGGCGACATGACTCAATTCTTTACACTTTGCTTCACTATGTATCTCAACTAAGGAAATACGGATTTCGAATCTATGCTGATCTATACAATTTTGACAATCCTAACGAATTCTTCCGTTCATTCCGCCCAGACATTGTACTAATAAAAGATGACAGAATCTTCATTTTGGAATTGACGTGTTGCTTTGAAACAAACTCTGAAAAGAGCAGGAACCTAAAGATCAGCAAATATAGGGATATTCAAAATGATTGCAAGAAAAGGTTTCGACACTGGAGAAAGATTTTCGTTGAATTTACAACACTTGGACTAGTAACAAAACATATAGATGACTTATACAGTGTCTTTAAAAATACAAACATTAATTATAAGAGAATGATTGAAAAGTGTATGGAAGTAGCTATGCGTGCCTCATTTTATATATATGTACGCCGTAACAAACAATGGACATTTCCGCCTATCTTAAAGTTTTATTAATCCTAAGTATCTACTACTATAGCGATGTCTGTAATCTCTGTGGACTGCTCTATGTTTACATTGGAGAGAAACACATGAGTTAGTTTTATGAGGTTATATATACTATCAAATTTATATGTATTTTAATGTATAGGATTACAATAAAGTTTCCATTATTATTATTATTATTATTAATAATAAGCTGAGCTGATCACGGCGTGTTATGCGTTTGAAGTTATTACACTTAAAGCAACCACTCTAGGGTTTGTGTCGAAAGATATTGACAGACTTCGTAGATTATTACGAACACTTGAAATGAACGACGAACGTATTATTAAAAAATGTATGGAGGTAGCTCTGAGAGCAACATTCTACATTTATTGCAGAAAAAACAAGCCGTGGAATAACCCAGACTTACTGAATTTTTATTAGCTACTATTGATACAAAGTGTAGAGAATGGACCTGTCTAATATAGTGAACTGTTTCTCTATTTTCCTGATTTAATTGAAAGTCTAATTATGTGATATATTTGTATAAATTATCATGTTATTAATAAAGATTTCTGCTATTTAAAAAATTATTATTATTATTAAACTGTCTTGTACCACGTGTTGAACTTGGTAAATCGTTTCGCTACCTAGATCACAAATCTGAAGTATATGACACACTTACTAATATCCTGAATGAAATTGATGATCTACCATTACATCCGAAAAACAAAATTCTCTTATACAGTCGTTATATGTGCTTTCCAAAATCCTTGGCACTTCACTGTTTCTGACATCGGCAAACCTGGGTTAACGATAAACTAGATCAGTAGTATCGCGTCCACGTATATCCGAAAATGGCTTGAACTTCCTATTTCTGCAACCCTTAGTAACGTCCTACTTCCCCACAATAAATTTGGATTAAATATCATTCTACCTTCAACCAAATTCCTTCAATGCCAAACTGTTTCTCGGAAGGCCCTAAAGTCGTCGCCAAATAAAGCGATCAATAACCTTTGGAAGGATACTAGCAATCACAAAAATGTACAATATGACAAATACAAAAACACCAAGGACGTATTAAACACCATCAGGAAACAACATAAAGACAAGCTTCAACACCACCTCATCTCACAAGGCTCATTTTTCTCCAATATCATTAAACATTCTACACTCTCATTCAGCTCTATATGGTCCTGTATGGTACAGTAAACTTCCCAAGAATATATTTAACTTCACTATCCGGTATATAAATAACACTCTTCCGACTCGCAAAAACCTTCTGAAATGGGGAATATCACCAACATCCGAATGTTCGTTTTGTTTGAATCCAGAATCACTTCTTCACGTCGTCGCTGGATGCAAGACCTACCTAAATGAAGGACGTTTCACGTGGCGTCATGATTCGGTACTTAACTTCATAGCATCCATACTTAAGTCTGTGAACCATTGTAACCTTTATGCTGACCTTCCCATCTATATCAGTCCATCTGTTCTCACCGGAGATGAATTGCGCCCTGATCTTTTGATAACACTTGAAAACAAATGTATTTATATACTTGAACTTACCGTCGGATTTGAATCTAATCTCCTCACTAATGCAACTCAAAAAAGACAAAAATATCAAGATCTAATTAACGAACAGCTCAAAAATTATGAAAAAGTGAAATTTGTAAATTTATCGATTAGCTCATTAGGAGTTTTCAGCCACCCGTCGCTAGATTTCACCGAGATGCTGAAGGATCTAAAGTTTGATGAACAATGTAGAAAGTACTATGTTCGGAAAATTATTAACATATGTATCAGGTCCTCGTATTATATATTCTGTAAGCGTAACAAAGAATGGGATAACCCACAACTAATGTCATACTAATACTGTTATTATGTAGAGTGTTAATTCAAGTAGACACTGGTAAACTACCTGTAAAGAGAGGTTTACCATTGTAGTTTGTATATAAATATTATAGAAAGTAATAAAGTTTCTATTATTATTAGCATGACAAAATTACTGGATGCTGATTGGTTGAGAGGAGTAAAAAGTACAGCTTTCTAAAAACCAAAACAAACAAAATGGCGGAAAGGTATTTTATACACAAATGTGAAATGATATTGCCCTGGAGAAACCAAATTTTGCTTGAACAAAAGAACTAAATGAAAATACAAACAAAAGCACCAAATTTTGGTTGAAAGTCTGGCAGGACTGGGCTTTGGCGAGAGAATATGATGTTGACATTGAGAAGTACGTATCCAATTTTGTCATGCTAATAATAAACAAGTAATCATGCGATGTTGCTCGTACAATTAGGGATTAATTAGTACTCGTGATGTTTGAAAATTTGCCAAATTGGACTCGCCCCGGCGGCTCGTCCAATTATGGCAAAATTTCCAAACATCACCCGTACTATTAATCCCTAATTGTACTCGCCATCGCATGATTACCTATACTTATTATTATTATTAAAAAATATAGTATTGTCGGTCAGGGCTTTTCAATTCTTAATTTACAATTATAAAAATATTTGAATTCCATGTTCAAAAGCTGATATTAATAAATTACTTATATCCATTATACCCATTAGTACTGTAAACAATTTTAAAAATATTATCGTAAAAGTATTTAATCGAGATAAAAGGTTAGTTGTTTGCTAACATGTTCTTCTTTAACTCAGTATTAAATGTTTTCATAGTTTATAAAGATATGATGGTCTGGAAACTAAACAGAAGTCATTGTACTATGTTTTTGTCTGAGTTTATGTTAATTTGTGCACGTTCACTGTGATTGAGCTCATTGTACTTTTGTATAATGAAGTAATCGTCCAATAAGGATAGCTGAGATGAAACGTGCAGCCACGATGAATAATATTTAATGAAGTTGAAACAAAGGATTTGTGCACGATTTGTGCAGTTCAACATCAAACAAAGGCATTTTATTTTTTTAACAAAGGCATTCTACCTAGCTCTGAAATCTGTCGGGTTTCCAGACCATTATATCTCGATAGACTATGATCAGGGCCTCACAGAGAGGGGGGCAAAGGGGGCAATTTGCCCCGGTCCCCCAGTTAAAGAACCCCAAAGTTTGGAAAAGGGCGGCCACAAAAGGTGTAATTAAAAACATTTTATTTGGAACGTTTTTATATAAATAAAGGTATGAGAAAAACAAATTAGACCTTAATTTTACTGGTATTGGCCCGAAAAAATGTGTTTTAGAGATGTTTTTACAGGTATTTGTCCGGAAAAATTATTTGAACCTTAATTCAATTAGTGTTTGTCCGGAAAAAATCGGGGTCCCGAATTAAAAATTTGCCCCGGACCTCCGAATTTCTCTGAGAGGCCCTGATTAAGGATAAGTAATTTTGATACGTAATATTATTGAACATATATAGAAGCCTAAATGAAAGCCTGTTAAGGTTTCGATAGTAGCGCTCTATAGCCCTATCACTTGTAAATATTGTTTAGTTATGTAAGTTTGTACATATATAGCCACATGGGAAAAAATAAACAAATTTGAAAACTTCGCATTCCCGTGGGTGTCTTGATGGTCGAACCCAGGAGAGAGCCGATGATAGACGCATTTGATAATTAGTTCGCCTGAAGAATGTTATAGGAGATGAAATCCGATCCATTCTTGGGATTTAAAGATTTGGGAGCTCAAAATAATATTGATAAATAATATTTATAAAACTACTGTACATAATATTTTATATATTCTCTTGCCTCTTTGTACAGTGCATAAAGTATGCCCTTGTCGCTTTTGGTATCCACTTTCTCTGTGCTTGGATCCGTTAACGAAGTTGGACGCCAATCTAAACAAATGCAAGGCACGTAAATGTGCAACAAACACCCATTTTTGTACTTTCAGGGGAGATGGTTTATTATAGACTGGCGTCAGGGTTGGTAAGTTGCTCTTGCAGGCCAAATAACTGGCCTTTTTGCTACTTTTGGCCTTTTCACAGTTTACAAGGAGTTTGTGAAAACTGAATGATTATTTTGAAATAAACCATTGATTTTTCTTTATTCATTGTCATATGTAACGCTATCAGATCTATAACAACGCTTTTGTTGCTGGAGATGCAACTACTGAGATCTATACCCCAAATTGTATAGCAGTAGGTTTTCATGACTGGGGCATACGCGATTAGGAAGATTTTCTGAAGATTTAATTCGTTCTTTAACCATTCAGTCTTCAAATATACCCTGCAGGGTGCGATAATTCAATATTTTTGGTCGTATTTGACTGGTACGCCCATGGTTGTTGCCGCGTACTTGCGCTAGTACAAACGCAGTACTCAATGTATACTTACAGTCATTAAAATAAATGTTCATAAAGTACAGGTTTCTGAAAAGTACTGTATGTTCAGATATAAACAAACGCATATTGTACACAAACAATCGACTCCAACATTTCTTAGTGCCATCAGTCCAATCATGTTTCAAGTCAAGACATCTCAGACACATGATATACCAACTAAACTGCAGTATGAAATTATGAATACCTTGGGCTTGGAAAGGTCATGTGGTATTAGCAAAAAGTAAGTACGCAGATAGCAAGAGTTCCGCGTACCTACATGGTACGTGGCTGAAAACAAAGAAGAACCAGACCGTAATAAGTACACGAATTATCGCACCCTGACACCTACCTATTGGTATAGCTGGAGAAGGTGTTGTCGTATTTCCTCCTTGTGTTGATGTTGCTAGAAATTATATTAAGCAAACAGAAGGTAAACTACACAATTAATCAGGGACGAGCTTTTCAAAAGCTGGTCAATGGTCACCTTAATGCTATTTTAACGGCAATCTCAAAGCACTAATCCCAACAGTCTGTTTAGCAACATGAATATAGTTTTCCATAATTCATGCCTGGATCAATAGAAGCTTTATTTTCCAAAGGTTTGAAATAAACACAAGTGCAAATGTACGCGAACTAAAACAGCGCGTAAAATTGTAACCTGGGCTTAGCGCTAATCCAGCTTAATTGTACCAGTCCTTCACGACTGGGTCGTACGCGATCAAGAAGATTTTCTGAAGATTTAATTTATTTTTTAACCATTCAGTATCCAAGTACTTACCTGTTGTTGTAGGTGGTGTAGCTAGCGAAGGTATTGTCGGCATATTTCCTCCTGGTGTTGTTGCTAGAAATTATATTAAGCATGCAGAGGTTAAACTAGCACAAGAAAACAAGATAATAGAATAGCTTATTAATTTTACACATTCCATCATTTCATACTGCTGCATTTATGCTATTGCAACTAGAAATACATGCATGTATGCAACTAGAATTGAAATACATGCAAGTATTCTTAATTGACGCCAATTATAACATTACACTGAACGCAGGTTTTCTCTGCTCGCGAGTGTTTTTTCCGCTAAATTGGACGAGAAATTTATTACTAATAAAGTATGAATGATATAGATGGAAAAAAAATTCATGCAGAAGCAACTTCACTGTAACTTGCGTGCATTAAACACGTGCGAAATGAATAATTTACTCACTCATTTGAATAGCACAACAATTAAATACAAGTGTTCGAATGTGAAAAATCGAAATGTCTTTTTTTTTTGGCGCTTGCCACGTATTTGTTTTTGGCACTGTATTTTCTGGCACTATTTTGTTTCTTGGTACTGCTTTGCAAAATTGTGTACCCCTTAGCCAATCAGAATCTAGTATTTTTTAGTACATTATTAATCTACAAAGTTGTGGGTAAATGTATAGTTAAGAGGTAGGATCAGGAGAAGATACCTTTCAAGTTTACAGCTTGAACTAAGATTTAAAAAAATTGGTTGGAAAATGGAATTTAGAAAAAAGAGGACTGGGGAAATGGGATCTAGACCCTACTTTTGGACCCTCTTAATTGTAACAGTCCTTCACGACTAGGGTGTACGCGATCAGAAAGATTTTCTGAAGGTTTAATTTATTTTTTAACAAATTCAATCTTCAAGTACTTACCTGTTGTTGTAGGTAGTGTGGTTGGATAAGTTGTTGTCGTATTTCCTCCTCGTGTTGATGTTGCTAGAAATTATTTTAAGCAAACATAAGGTAAACTACACAGTTAAACAGGGGCCGTGTTTTTCAAAAGCTGGTCACTTTAGTGCTAGGTTAACAAAAATCTCACAGCAATTTTCCCAACAGCCAGTTTAGAAACATGAATATAGTTTTCCATCATGCCTGTATCAATAAAAATTCATGCCTGGATCAATAAAAGTTTTATTTTCCAAAGGTTTGAATTAAACGGAAGTGCAAATGTACTCAAACAAAAACAGCGCGTAAAATTGTAACCCAAGGTTAGCACTAATCCAGCTTAGTTGCAACAGTCCTTCGCGACTGGGGTATACGCGATCAGGAAGATTTTCTGAAGATTTAATATACTTTTTAACCATTCAATATTCAAGTACTTACCTGTTGTTGTAGGTGGTGTAGCTAGGGAAGGTATTGTCGTATTTCCCCATGGTGGTATTGTTACTAGAAATTATATTAAGCACCAGAAGGTAAACTAGCACAATAAAACAGGATAATAGAATAGGTTATTAATTTTATACATTCCATCATTTCATACTGCTGCATTTATGCTATTACAACTAGAAATACATGCATGCATGCATGTAACAACCCCTCGCCCACATGTTCCAAACATTGTTTCAACATGAAGTATTCTTAAATGACGCCAACATTACAATGAACGCGGGTTTTCCTTGCTTGCGAGTGTTTGTTTTTCCGCTAAATTGGACGAGAGAATGTACTATTACCAATAAAGTATTAATATTGATGAAAAAAAATTCATGCAGAAGCAACTTCATTGTAACTTACATGCAGTAAACACGTGCGAAATGAATAATTTGCTCACTCATTCATTTGAAGGGCACAACAACTAAATACAAGTTTTCGAACGTGAAAAGTCGAAATTTTAAATCGAAATGTCTTTTGTTTTGGCGTTTGCCACGTATTTCTCTTTTTTTATCACTGTATTTTCTGATACGTATTTCTTTTTTTTTAGCACTGTATTTTCTAGCACTATTTCGTTTCTTGGTAATGCTTTGTAAAGTTGTACTCTTCTTAGCCAATCAGAATCAAGTATTTTTTACAATCTACAAATTTTACAATCTACAAAGTTGTGGGGGGAAAATGTAGTTAAGAGGTAGGATCAGAAGATACCTTTCAAGTTTACAGCTTTAACTAAGATTTGGTAAACAAATTGGTTGGAAAATGGGACTTAGAAAAAAGAGGACTGGCAAATGGGATCTAGCCCCTACTTTAGGACCCTCTTAATTGTAACAGTCCTTCACGACTGGGTATAGGCGATCAGAGAGATTTTCTGAAGATTTAATTTATTTTTTAACAAATTCAATCTTCAAGTATTTACCTGTTGTTGTAGGCAGTGTGGTTGGAGAAGGTGTTGTCGTATTTCCTCCTGGTGTGGATGTTGCTAGAAATTATGTTAAGCAAACATAAGGTAAACTACACAGTTAAACAGGGGTCGTTTTTTCAAAAGCTGGTCACCTTAATGCTAGGTTAATTAACAACAATCTCAAAGCAATCTTCCCAACAGTCTGTTTAGAAACATGAATATAGTTTTCCATAATTCTAGAAGGTAAACTAGCACAATAAAACAGGATAATAGAACTACTGCTTCATTTATACTAATGCAACTAGAAATGCATACATTCAACAACCCCTCGCCCACATGTTCCATTAAACATTGTTTCATGTTTACTATTGGTAAGTGTTAAAGCATTATACATTATACAGTATTTACATTTAACTACAAATTAAAGATTCGCATGCATTACCATTAATTTTAATAAGAAACAGAACTGAACTTCAAACATTACGTGTGGAAAGAAGGAATACAAAACAAGTCAAAGAATGAAGTCGATCACATGAACACCTGGTGGCCACTGGCATATAAAAAACAATGTAGTGCACTTTTACGTTTCACGAAGGTCGTACCACAGCCAGTCGTAAAGTGACGTTCGGACAAACATTCTTAATTTAACAACGTTTCACACAGGTAAATTTTAATTGTCACAAGTTGTATTTGGAAAAACACGGTTGTTGCATTCAGGTTGTAAAGCAGTAAAGTTGGACCAAAAGTGAAGGTGTGGTAAAAGTGCAAGTATTGTAAAACACTCAAAACATACAACAGCATAATGATAGAAGTAATACAAGGAAAATACTTAATAAAACAGACATGCATGTTTGGGTAAGCATGAAAATTATATAATTATATGTTATAGGAGAGATTGTCAACATTAAGGTATATAGGATCAGAAGAGGATACCTTTTAAGTTTACAGAATTATACTTTATCTAGAAGCGAAAACTGGATTACCCAAACACACGATTAAGACAAAACTATAACGAAGTCAAATACATTAAGCGTTGCAAGACCTAGAACAGAGATGCAAAAGTTAGAAGCATGTGCACATGCCCTAACAACTGTCGAATGAAAACTCGCTCCTTGAAATGATTCAATTGTACAACACAAGACAACTCTACTTACATGTATCTGCGGCGCTCCGAGTGAAGACAGCAGTTGAATAGACTTTGGCCACTGTGAGTTATAGATTATATAGTTTTGGTTTTTCTATTTCCCTCGGGAGCAGACATTAAGTGTATATTATTTCCCTGTGTGCTATGCCCATGAGCAGGTTAAAGATGATGTCCACTCCTGTGCGCATGCGCGAACTTTGTTTACGTTTTGAACTGCTATATTTGTAAAATATGATATACTAACTGAATATCTAACACTTTTCTGGTTCGCTATGCTTGTAAATGAATATAAACTCTACATTTGGGCAATGTTTATATCGGTGGGGGTCTCCCTTTATTATGAGCAGAACTGATGCGCATAACGGAGTGGGAATCATCTTTAAATTAACGGGTAGCACTTCGCTTCCTTTTGGTATCCTAGTCTTCAATATACCTTTCCGTTTTTCGCACACACGCACGTCTTCTCCATAGACTCTCCACTTACTCCACATCTTAATCCCCTGGTACAACACAACATTGCCTCTTCCTTGGGCATTGCCATAATTCACATTTAGTATTGTTCCATTTAACCTGACTAAGTCATTTACGCACACCCACACTTGATATTTGTCATGGCGATTACACGTGGACAATTTCAAGCGGACCCAGTCTACTGGCATTTCACGTACGCTGAGAAATGTTTGATTGAGAATATTTTGAAGTTGGTTATATTGTGTCCACCGCCATCTTTGTTTATCTGTCAGTGGTTTGCACGATTTTGCGGTGATCTTTTCATTTTCAATTGAGATGCATTTGTTATGCGCAATGTTGTAGATGAGAAATCCTTTATCTGCTTGTGCTAAATACCAAAGAAAATACTCGTTAAAAGAGAAATCATGTTAGCTATAATCTGATATACATTTATATAAAATTTACACTCGATAATTTCTATTTACAGTACAAAACTCTTCAAATATTATTCAATCGAGTGAGATGCCAACAAAATCTTGATATTTCCAAGGTTGTGGGTAAAAAGCTGTTTTTGGTATGCACTTTCTTTGTGCTTGGATCCGGTAAAGAAGTTGGATAGTTCACAGTTGACAAGAATGTTGTGAAAACTGATTGATTATTTTGAAATAAAGCTTTAAATTTGCAGGTTGGTTCCATTTTTACTTTATTCATCAGAAGTAACGTTATCAGATCTAGTCTGTTCCTTTTAAATTCTACTTCTAGTGTTAATGGCTATTCTCCATTGGTTTATTTTAACTAGAAGTGAAATTTGGATTACCCAAAGAAATTCTGCGGCGTTTCGTAGAAACAAAACTATAACAGAGTCAAATACTATTGTTCCCAGTAAACTGCGAAACGAGCGTTTTTTTACGAAGGACATATTTGTGTACCTCGTGATCACAATTCGCTGCAAGCGGAGTGTGAAAAACTGCAAGTTTCAGTTTGATAGTTCTGACAGTTAAATGGTTTCTAATTTTATTGTCCAATCAGGTGCGTAGATTTGATTTAAAATTCAAAACTACGCATCTGATTGGAAAATAAAATTAGAAACTCATTTAACTGTCAGAACTGTCAAACTGAAACTGACAGTTTTTCACACGCCGCTTGCAACAAATTGTGATCACGAGGTACACAAATATTTCCTTCGTAATTGACAAAACTGTCACTGACAAACCGCTTAAAAAACGGTCGTTTCGCAGTTTACTGGGAACAATAGTACATTAAGTAATGCAAGACTCAGACCAGGGACATGCCCAAACAACTACTGAGTCAAAATTCGCTCCTCAAAATGATGCAAGCGTGCAACACATGACATCTCTCAGGTAGGATCAGAAGAAGATACCTTTTAACTTTACAGCTGGAACTAAGATTTGGTAAAAAAATAGTTGGGAAATGGGATTTAGAAAAAAAGTGGACTGCATGGGAAATGGGATCTAGATCCCTCCTCGAAACCATCTTACTTGAAGTCCTTCATGACTAGCGTATACGCGATCAGAGAGATTTTCTGAAGATTTGTTTTACTTTCTGACCATTTAATATTCAAGTAGGCCTAGTTACCTGTTGTTGTAGGTGATGTAGTTGGAGAAGGTGTTGTCGTATTTGCTCCTGGTGTTGTTGCTAGAAATTATATTAAACAAATAGAAGGTAAACTAGCACTGCCAATCAAACAACATAATAGAATATCTTGTTACGTTATGTGTGCTAGCCTTCGCAAAAATGTTTGGATAAGAGCAAGCACATTACGACCTTTTCACTACTACTAGTAAATGCTGCTGAACAATACTCCTGAAAGTATAACCATAGAATATCTGGCATTGAAGAAATTGATGAAGAATATTGCTATGAAGCTGTCTCATTTTTTTGCAACAGAACTCGTCCTGTTTCTTGTCTTTGTTAAATTCAAATGTTATCGTGCTAAGGAAAAGGTTCTATAATTAGAAATCGTAGAAAGTTAAAAGAGAAGAGAGGGTTTTTTGTCAACGAAGATTGAGCTTCATATAATCTGGAACTTTATCGAAAGGTTCGCTTTGCTGAACATGTTACTATACGTCGGCAAGAGATGACAAGATTTTTGTTAATAAATTGCAAGATGAAACCAAAACAGCGCGTAAAATTGTAACCCGGGGTTAGCACTAATCCAGCTTAATTGTAACAGTCCTTCACGAATGAGGTATACGCGATCAGGAAGATTTTTTGAAGATTTAATATATTTTTTAACCATTCAATATTCAAGCACTTACCTGCTGTTGTAGGTGATGTAACTGGAGAAGGTGTTGTCGTATTTCCCCATGGTGGTGTTGTTACTAGAAATTATATTAAGCAACCATAAGGTAAACTAGCACAATAAAACAGGATAATAGAATAACTTATTAATTTTGCACATTTCATCATTTCATACTGTTGCATTTATGCTATTGCAACTAGAAATACATGCATGCATGCATGCATCCAACAACCCCTCGCCCACATGTTCCAAACATTTTTTCAACATGAAGCATCCTTAATTGACTGCAACATTACACTGAACGCAGGTTTTCTTTGCTCGCGAGCTTTGTTTTTCCGCTAAATTGGACGAAGGAATGTACTATTACTAAGTACAGTATGAATAATATTGATGAAAAAAGTTTACTTCATTGTAACTTGCATGCATTAAACAGGTGCGAAATGAATAATTTAGTCACTCATTTGAATGGCACAACAACTAAATACAAGTTTTCGAATGTCAAAAGTCGAAACTTTAAATCGAAATGTCTTTTGTTTTGGCGCTTGCTCGTATTTCGTTTTTTGGCACCGTATTTTCTGGCACTATTTTGTTTCTTGGTACTGCTTTGCAAAATGTACTCCTCTTAGCCAATCAGAATCGAGTATTTTTTACAATCTACAAATTTTATAATCTACAAAATTGTGGGGAAAATGTAGTTAAGAGGTAGGATCAGGAATAGATGCCTTTAAAGTTTACAGCTTGAACTAAGATTTGGTAAAAAACTGGTAAAAAAATTAGATTTGGATTTGGTAAAAAATTTAGAAAAAAGAGCACTGGGAAATGGGATCTAGACTCTTCTTTAGGACCCTCTTAATTGTAACAGTCCTTCACGACTAGGGTATACGCGATCAGAAAGATTTTCTGAAGATCTAATTTATTTTTTAACAAATTCAATCTACAAGTACTTACCTGTAGTTGTATGTAGTGTCCTTGTAAAAGGTGTTGTCGTATTTCCTCCTGGTGTTGATGTTGCTAGAAATTGTATTAAGCAAAAACATGGTAAACTAGCACAATAAAACAGCATAATAGAATAGCTTGTTAACTTTACACCTTCCATCATTTCATACTGCTGCGTCAATACTAGTGCAACTAGAAATACATGCATGTAACAACCCCTCGCCCACATGTTCCATTAAACATTGTTTCATGTTTACTATTGGTAATTATAAAATAGCCTTTTAAAAACATGGACCCTGTTTGGTCAAAAGCTAAAAAAACCCGTGTTTCTATAACTCGATAGAAACGCAGGGAATTTTCACGCGGGTTGGGTGGATTGCGTGGGATTTTAAAAGACAAAATACAAACAATATTTACAAACAAAAAAGGCAACGCTGGCAAACTTAGAAAACAAAGACCTAAAGTACAAAGTATAATACAGCATACGTTGTATCCGTTTGACTGTTTATCAAGGTAAGATATTTTAATTTTACTTTGTCTTTTTTAAAATAAATATTTCCTCGCAACGTTTTTAATCATGTTTACTATCGTTTTTAATCATGTTTAAACGTTACTAACTATTTAAAACAATGGCAGCATTGACAATGCTTTCTTTGCAAGCATGTACGTTGTTGAGCGAACCATATACTTTAATAAAGTATTAAGCGATTTAAGCCTGTTAAAAAGTGTTGTCTGTTGTTTTGACAGAGATATACTTGTCCCCGAGCCAACGGCGCGGAGCGCCGTTCCTGGGGTAAGCCCGGGGCAAGGGTACTAATTCCGTCCGGCCATTTACACCCGGGGAAAGGAACGCACTAGCGAAGTCTAAAGTTCATCAAATATCGTGGGCGCATGGCTATGATCAAGGGTGGACCTCCTCACTGATCTCAAAAATATGGCAAATTGCCACGAGTGAAATAAGGAAAATTTCAATTTTCAAAGACAAATATTTGGAAAATCGTTCATATACAAGAGCTTTGAACTAATTTTTGTTTGAAGAAATGAGAAGAATTTATTTACTATGGGAAATGTGAAATATGGGGCAAGTTTGTTTGAATGTTTAATGTTTATGAATTTTGTTGCTTTACGGCTTTACTTTTTGCCTAAAACATGAACTGTTTTCCTTTCCAACAAAGCTGTGAGTTTCCTAAGTTACCACCTGTTTAATATAAGAAAAAAATTAAAATGTAAAGGAGGGCAAATTGATTTGAAGACGGCACTGAAATTACCTTACTGGCTAACAATTTGAACTTAATGTTTCATTAAGTAAATAAAACAGTTTATCGGCAAATGTAGTTTAGTAGTTGAATGAACATTTCAAAAAAATGTACAAAAAAATATTGAAAAATTGAAAATTTAAAAATATCGTGTTGTCATGGCAACACTTGAACGCGAGCCTGCGTTCAATGTTGGCCATTCCCGAATACTTCATGCTAATTCAGTGTTTGGAAAATATAGGCGAAGGCTTGCAGCATGCATGTATTCTAGTTTACTTGGCTATGCTTTAATTATTCTTTACACGAACGTATATTAAGATAGAATTAATATTTGGGTGAATGTAATTAAAATCAATAAATTTATCTTTTTTGTTGTTTTTAAAAGGCTGTTTAGAAGAAATAGAAAACAATTTTCCGTCTTCCTATAGAGTTATAGAAACACTTGTGGAAGTTTGAGGGAAACTCGAAATTGTGTGGAAACACTTGCACTTCGTGTTTGTGTTTCCACCCAATTTATCGTTTCTCCCAAACTTCCACAAGTGTTTCTATTTAACAATTAGTCGCCGAAGGCGAGGTGATTACAAGCCTATATTCACTGAGCCGAAGGCGAAGTGAATATAGGCTTGTAATCACCGAGCCTGAGGCGACTAATTGTTTTAGTAAAAATTTTCAGGTGTTTACAAACAATAATCCACACAACTTTATAAAAATTCACTTCAAATACATTTATTTTCACTATAAATAGTTTGTTTACAAAATTTAAATCTCAGACACAGCTCTGTGTCGGGTTGCGACTAAGCCAGTTTTTTTCCAAATAAAAGCACGTAAACTTTAATATTTTACCTTGAAATATTTTTAAACCATATTTTGTAGCTTGTTTGGTTTTTTTCGGAATGCTATCTTCTTTAATTTTGGCAATTTCCTCTTCTGTTACTACGGTAAAACGAGCAGCCATTTTGAAAAAAAAAAGCTATAGTCACTGACCAGTGACTATCACTTCAGAAACAGTGAATCTTGACCAATCAGAATGCAGAAAAATCAATAGTCACCTGGAAATTTATACTAAAACTCTATAGAAACACGGAAAATGATTTCTATTTTTTAAGTGTCAAAGCATTATACAGTATTTACATGTAACTACAAATTAATGATTCGCATGCATTGCCATTAATTTTAACAAGAAACAGAACTGAACTTCAAACATTACGTATAGAAAGAAGGAATACAAAACAAGTCAAAGAATGAAGTCGATCACATGAACACCTGGTGGCCACGGGCATATAAAAAAACAATTAAAAACAAGATTCAAATTTCCTCGACTTCATCTCGGGAAACATTGAGATTCTTGGGAAAACAAAACAAACTATTTCGCTCGGAAGCAGATATTAAGTGTATATTATTTTCCTCTGTGTTATCCCTATGAGGAGTCTAGAGATGATGTCCACTTCTATGCTCATGCGCGAACTTTGCTTACGTTTTGAACTGCTATATTTGTAAAATATGATATACTAACTGAATATCTAACACTTTTCTGGTTACTCTACGTTTCAATTCAAAAAAGTTCGAAAGATGCAAAATTTGGGGAATGTTTATATCCATGGGGGCCCCCCTTTTTTCGAGCAGAACTGATGCGCAGAAAGGAGTGGAAATTATCTTTAACGGGCAGCACTTCGCTTCCGTTTGGTATCCTAGTCTTCTACATACCTTTCCGTTCTTCGCACACACGCACGTCTTCTCCAAAGACTCTCCACTTACTCCACCCCTGAATGCCCTCGTATAACACAACATTGCCTCCTCCTTGGGGATTGCCATAATTCACATTTAGTATTGTGCCATTTAACCTGACGAAGTCATTTACGCACACCCACAGTTGATATTTGTCATGGCGATTACACGTGGACAATTTCAAACGGACCCAGTTTACTGGCGTTTCACGTACGCTGAGACATGTTTGATCGAGAATATTTTGAAGTTGGTTATATTGTGTCCACCGCCATCTTTGATTATCTATGAACGGTTTGCACGATCTTGTGGTGATGTTTTCATTTTCAATTGAGATGCATTTGTCATGCGCAATGTTGTAGATGAGAAATCCTTTACCTGCTTGTACTAAATACCAAAGAAAATACTCGTTAAAAGAGAAACTATGTTACCAATAATCTGATATACATTTATATAAAATTTACACTCGATAATTTCTATTTACAGTACAAAATCCTTCAAATATTATTCAATCGAGTGAGATGCCAACAAAATCTTGATATTTCCAAGGTTGTGGGTAAAAAGTAGTTTTTTTGGTATGCACTTTCTTTGTGCTTGGATCCGGTAAAGAAGTTGGATAGTTCACAGTTGACAAGAATGTTGTGAAAACTGATTGATTTTTTTAAATAAAGCTTTAAATTTGTGGGTTGGTTCCATTTTTACTTTATTCATTATCAGAAGTAACGCTATCAGATCTGGACAGGTCTGTTCCTTTTAAATTCTACTTCTAGTATTAATGGCCATTCTCGACTTGTTTATTTTAACTAGAAGTGAAAACTGGATTACCCAAAGAAATGCTGCGGCGTTTCGTAGAGTCAAACTGCATGATAGCACTCTTTCAACACAAGACTAAGACAAAAAACTATAACGGAGTCAAATACATTAAGTAATGCAAGACCCACACCAGGGACGCAAAAGTTAAAAGCATGTGCACATGCCCTAACAACTACTGAGTCAAAACTCGCTCCTGGAAATGATGCAAGCGTGCAACACATGACATCTCTACTTATCTTCAATATACCTTGCGGCCGTTTTTCGCATACACGCACGTTTTCTCCATAGACCTTCCACTTACTAAACTGATAAGTCCCCTGGTACAACACAACATTGTCTCTTCCTTCGGCATTGCCATAATTTACATTTAGTATTGTGCCATTTAACCTGACTAAGTCATTTACGCACACCCACACTTGATACTTGTTATGGCGATTACACGTGGACAATTTCAAGCGGACCCAGTCTACTGCTGTTTCACGTACGCTGAGACATGTTTGATTGAGAATATTTTGAAGTTGGTTATATTGTGTCCACCGCCATCTTTGATTATCCGTCATTGGGTTGCACGATTTTGCGGTGATCTTTTCATTTTCAATTGAGATGCATTTGTTTTGCGCAGCCTGGTGGATGAGAAATCCTTCACGTGCTTCTGCAATACCAAAGAAAATGCGCATTAAAAGACAAATCATGTCACCAATAATTAGTAAAACTTTGAATGCTTTACTGACTAATTATCCTACAATGGGAAACGACTTTAACAAAGGAATAATGGGCGCGGGATTATGAACGCAGAGCCTTGACAGGGAAATCACTCTAAAATTCTCGTACATTTTTATAGGAAATCGCATGGGGCCGAGTAAAATTAAGGTTTAATTTGACGCATGTTTTCAAAGTTTCATATATATGTTAGGACAGCTTGCTATCAGTAAGGTAGGATCAGAAGCAGATACCTTTTAACTTTACAGCTGGAACTAAGATTTGGTAAAAAAATGGTTGGGAAATGGGATTTAGAAAAAAGTGGACCGGGAAATGGGATCTAGACCCCTCCTCAGAACCATCTTATTTGAAGTCCTTTATGACTGGGGTATACGCGATCCGGGAGATTTTCTGAAGATTTATTTTATTTTTTAACCATTTACTTTCAAGCAACCATCAATATTCTCATGCTACAGACTAGCGATATTATAAATATTTCGCCAAGCGCTCGTGTGATTTCCATTAATACTTCTCGAACCGTGTATAATTTCCTGTAGTAATTTTCAAATTTCTCATCACTCGACTAGAAGTAAATAGATTGTGTCTCGGCAATATAATGCTGTTTATAGTTTAGCTTTACCAATACATCTATACGGTTTTAGCCTGTTTAGAGTTAAGTGGGACCACCGTTTTTAAATAAGATGAATAATAATAGCCTAATAATAATAACGCCCGTATTGATAAAAACGTCGCTCGTTTAAGAGGGTCCTGAAGGTGGGGGTCCCAATCCCATTTCCCACCTGAAATTTTGGCAAAATCCCAGTCCCAGTTGGATTTTTATTAGAAATCCCAGTCTGAGTTATTGAAATCTCAGTCAATAAGAAACCCTTTATTTATCAGTACAATAAACAGTTTTAAGACTTTTAAGCCATCGTGTGTGCAAGTGGTACACACGTTATGAAATTTGGGGGAGGGTTGTGCCGAAGGCATGGAAAATTTTTAAACTTGAATCCCGGAAATGGCATTTGCAGCATTCTGAGACACGCATAATCAGAAAACCCAGAATTCCGGGCGCCAGAGTATGCCTGTTCGCAGGTAGTGCTGTGAATAATATAGTTAACAACAAAAATCATGACCAAAGAACCAAAAACGGATCAAAATTGTATTTTAAAATACTTAAAACGTAGAAAAATTGGGAATCGACTCGCATTACCTCAATCCCATTCCCATTTTTGAGGACTTCATTTCCCATTCCCAGTGGCCAAATCCCACCCTTGCGAAAATAACTATATTATATTGCTATTTTAAAACTATTTTATTACTATCACCCCTATTTTATTCAGAAGCAACCCTATTTTAATTCTATCATAATATTTCACCAAAAGAAAGAGCCATATTTTATTAATGTTTTATTTTATTTTATTCCTATTTTTATAGATAATCGAAATAAAATCGCATATTTTAATACTATTTTCCAGAGCTTCAGGGAAAAAATAGGTTTAAAATAGCCTATTTAAATTCTATTTTACTTCACTAAAAAGCAGTTAGAAATTAAAATAGATATAAAATATACTATTTTTAAACTCATAAAATAAAATAGGCTGTTTAAAT